AAAAAATTTTTATATAGCTTTAGACTACGATTCTCTCTCGTGATTACTCAGAACCTATCAATTAAACCGGTTCAAAAAAAGAAAGAGACCAAAAGATTATAGAGCGACCTATTCACTGTTAAAATTAATCTAAAATAATCATAGTATTTCGTCTTCTAGTTGAGAGATCAGTTTCATAGAAAATGGAAGGCATTTCAAGTCAAGATTCCACCAAACGTTGCGTAGTTGAAGTTTGTAAAGGAGGAGTAGTGTCCGAATTGAGAAAAATAACCGATCACGTATTAAGTAAAGCGGAAGCCAACAGAACTTTAGCTTCGTATTATGTAGATCACAAAGACGAGTATATGTATCTAAGATGTTATAACGGGATTGTGGTAAACGGAAGTGATTTTTTTAAAAATCACGCATTAGAATGGGAAAGAAGTTTGAAAAAATGTAGAAAGAGTGATAATCTTTCTATGTCTGAAAGTATTAAGTTGCTGGCTAATATTATTTTTCAAAGAGATGTTTTAGGAGAAAATAGTCCCATTGTTGATTTTTTACAGCTCAGGGCTTTTGTAGAAAAAAAAAGCGAACTATTAACTCCATTCTTTGACGAAATTGAAGCAGCAGTCGGTATGGAAAATAAGAATGAAGACAAAAGACAAGAACTCAATCGATCTCTAGCATATCAATGTTATTTAATGTGCTGGAATCGAAATAAACCTATACCACTTTGGAATCTAAAAGATGAAAAATTGAAAAGTAAAGAGTTTATGTGGGTGGATGGTGTGGTTGTGCTGATGAATTTGCTTTATGATAGAAAAAAGAAGCAAAATCTGCCATCTTTGTATAGTTTTCAAGAATTACGAAAGGAAATGGAAGACAAGGATCATCGGCTAAGTATTTTTTTTAATTCTATTTATGATGCTGCAAATCCGTTTGAAAGAAGCGAGAAGTATTTAGAAAAGCTAGACAAACGTCTAGCTTTGAATGTTATCTTATCTGTGGTAATCGTAACTCAAAATTAACTTCATTCAAGACAGAAATGTCGATATTTTTAAATTCTATGAGAACAGCTCATGAAGCAATTGATGCATTCGTATTAGCTGGAGTTATGATTACATCTCGTCATATGGATCGAAAGAAGGCTGATATTGCAGAATTACACGATGATTTGGTTGATGGTTACCTTAATAAGAACGTAAAGAG